TATTTTCTACCTACCATCTATGCTACTTATTCTCTGTACCTTTTCCCCCTTCCTCCTCCTCCCACTCCCCTGTTGACAACCCTCCATGTGATCTCCATTTCTGTGGTTCTGTTCCTGTTCTAGTTATTTGCTTAGTTTGTTTTTGTTTTTGTTTTAGGTGTGGTTGTTAATAATTGTGAGTTTCCTGTCATTTTACTATATATCTCTTTTTTAACATTTTGATGGAAATCCTTTTATTTTTTTAAAGATTTTATTTATTTTTTAAGGAGGGAAGGGAGGGAGAAAGAGAGAGAGAAACATCAATGTGCAGTTGTTGGGGGACTATATATCTTTTTTATCTTCTTTTTCTTAGATAAGTGCCTTTAACATTTTATATAATAAGGGCTTGGTGATGATGAACTCCTTTAACTTGACCTTATCTGAGAAGCACTTTATCTGCCCTTCCATTCTAAATGAAAGCTTTGCTGGATAGAGCAATCTTGGATGTAGATCCTTGCCTTTCATTACTTGAAATACTTCTTTCCAGTCCCTTCTTGCTTGCAAGTTCTCTTTTGAGAAATCAGTTGACAGTCTGATGGAAACTCCTTTGTAGGTAACTGTCTCCTTATTTCTTGCTGCTTCTAGGATTCTCTCCTTCATTTTTACCTTGGCTAATGTAATTATGATGTGCCTTGGTGTGTTCCTCCTTGGGTCCAACTTCTTTGGGACTCTCTGGGCTTCCTGGACTTCCTGGAAGTCTATTTCCTTTACCACATTGGGGAAGTTCTCCTTTATTATTTGTTCAAATAACTTTTCCTCTTGTTGCTCTTCCTCTTCCCCTTCTGGTCCCCTATAATTCAAATGTTGGAACATTTAAAGATGTCCTGGAGGTTCCTAAGCCTCTCCTCATTTTTTTGAATTTGTGTTTCTTCCTTCTTTTCTGTTTGGTTGTTTCTTTCTTCCTTCTGGTCCACTCCATTGATTTGAGTCCCAGTTTTCTTCCCATCACTATTCGTTCCCTGTGCATTTTACTTTATTTCACTTAGCATAGCCTTCATTTTTTTCATGTAATTTGCAACCAAATTCAACCAATCCTGTGAGCTTCCTGATCACCAGTGCTTTGAACTGTGCATCTGATAGGTTGGCTATCTGTTGGTCACTTAGTTGTATTTGCTATGGAGCTTTCATCTGTTCTTCTGTTTGAGCCTTTTTTTTTGTCTTGTCACATCTGTCATGTTGAGGAGCAAAGCCTTAGGTGTTCACCAGGGCGGGGCAACCCAGTGTCTGTGTTGTGATGCAGTATGTATGGGGTGGGGTCTGAGCGGGAACAATGGTGCTTGCTTCTCTGTCCCTCGGATTTCAGTCCCTTCCACCGCTTCCCCCAAGCAAATTGGGCCCTTCTGCTGCTGATTCCCATGTGGGTGGGCTTGTGTACATTCTAGGATCCTGTGGGTCTGTCCAACGGACTCTTCCATGAGGCTGGGAGTCTTTCGTAGCTCCTCAACTGCCACAGGTGTTTTCAATCAGTGTTTTGAGGCTTTATTTCCCCACACTGGGTTGCCAGATCTGTCTTGCTCCCCAGTTTCGCCTGGTTTATCTCCATGTAAATGTGGGACCACCCAGTCAGCCAATCACCTTGCACGCCGTGCCCTGCTTCACAATCACCACCTCACTGGGTCTGCCCATTGCCACATCGCACCCAGGGTCTGCCCGCTGCCATCTTGCACTCCCGGGGTTTGTCAGCTGCTGCCTTGTGCCACCGCTTTTCTTTTTTTTTTTGCTGTGACCCCTCTCCATCCGGCCACCCGACTCTGCCCCTCCTACCAGTCTGGATAAATGTGTCTATTTTAACTCCTTGGTTGTTGGACTTCCATATAGTTCAATTTTTTTTTTTATCAGTTCTGGTTGTTATTTTGTTTCTAAATTGTTGTTGTCCTTATTTTGGTTGTGTGAGGAGGCATAGTGTATCTACCTATGCTTCCATCTTGGCCAGAAATCTTCAACTGCAGTTCCATAACTCTTGGTCCCCACCCTTAGTGATCCCAATGCCTATATTCCAAGAGCTTCCTTATGCCCAACCCCAGGGTCTCATCCCCGGGCCCTGCTAACTAACAGTGGCTATGGGTACAGAGATCAACACCAAAATGAGTGCCTGCTCCTTAGAGGTCCTCCCACTCCACTGTGCCCTACCCCTCATCACTGGGGCAAATGGCCAGGAGAACCCATTTTATATGCAGTGAGCAGGCATACCAGGCACTTTCCTCACTGCCCCACCATGGGGTTGTTTCTGGGAGAGCTATACCAGAGAGAAGCCTCCCTCTAAAGCATACATGGGGGTGGGAAAGCATTAATGGATGATACGTGATCTCTGGGGTGCCTGAGCCCATTGCAGTGCCCTCCCTACCCCATGGCCAGGCTGCTATCAGCCATCTCCTAGCATTCACATCTCTGAAGGGTGAGGTTACTGCTGAAGTTCCACAAATGAATGTCAGCCTGTGTGCCAGGCACTGGACCCTGCCTGTCCCCACACTTGTAGGGAGAAGAGAGGAGATGGTGTCACAGAAGACTGGGTGACCCTGTCCCGCTGCAGGCCCCACCATGCCCTGACATCAACCTCCATATGACTCCTGGTACCCACAGCTCTCACATACCCCTCAATCTGTATCCATGACCCAAGCCCTCCCAACTGTCTTTTCCTGTTCTTGGCTTTGTGTGGTGAAAGTTCCCCAATTATACCCACATTATATCAGCTGCTGGGCAAGCTTGGTGAGTGGAGGCTAAGGGCTGGGTATAGGGAGAACCCACTTATTCTGCTAGGAGGGCCTAGGACTTAGCTGTTTGTCACCTGGCCAGTCAGCTAGAGTACTAGGCTGTCTGTCCCACTGACCTCACTGTTAGACTGTATCTGGGGTGGGGCCACAGTTGAACTGGGCTGCAGTTCAGGGAATCAGACAGTTAGGGCCATTGAGATTGGAGTTAAGACTGCTTCATCATGGAGGAGGAAAATAGAGCTCAGAGGAGGAAGTGCATGGCCAAGGTCCCTTGGTTAGCTCAAGACAGACCAGCTAGAACCCAGCCCTCCTCACTTCCTGGTGGGTTCTCCTCCCTCTCACTTTCACCAGCATGCAGTGCATTTGCTCAGGAACATGTGAGACTCCACAGTACAGCCAATGGACAGCTGTAGGGTGGGAATATGGGTATCCCAAGAAGCCCCGGAAGAGCTGTGTAGATTGTGAGGAAGCATGGAGAAGGGGAAGCATCAGGGAATCTTTCAGAGCATTGTCAAGGCCTGGCTTGGAGGGACCAAGGAGATGTTTATTCAGCAGGCATTTCATGAGTATCTATGGTATGTCAAGCACAGGACATACTGTAGTGACCTAGAGAGAGCTGGCCTATACCCTCTTAAGGGGTGGACTGGGGGGCAGCCCGCTTCACTGACCATGAGCTTTGGAGACCTCAGAGGTGCTCTGCTCCCATGTCTCCACCATGCAGAGGCACAGGTGAGCTTCAGGTTCCTAATCTTGAACCCCAGACTCCCTTGGGGAGCCACGCCATTCCTTTGCCTCTGGGTCAGTACAGGGAATGGCATTGATATTATTGATGGCACTCAATTGTGCCATAAATTGACTGGATGAAGTAAGGATGATAGGACATGATGTGTACAAATGGCAAGAGAGAGCTGAAACTACGCATTAGAGGAGGTGGCTCCCCCAAATGAAGGGGGCTAAGCCAAGTATAGGGTTAAGGAAGCTCAAACAAAAGCCATTCTAGATGTGATAAAAACAACTGGTGGAAAGACCATAGGGAATATATTCAATTCCACTGATCATACCCTCCTCCTTGCAAATCTCTGCTCTAACTGCTTCCATTGTGATATGTAAATATTTTTAAAACAAATATATACTGAGCACATACTGTATGCCAGGTGCTGTGCTGGGCACTGAGGATACAGAGATGTAAAAGACACAGACCCTGCTCTGGACCAGACTGAACTGGTGGAGGAGTCAGGTGTTAACATCTAAATTCCAAGGCAGAAAGGGCTATGATGGAGGTGGTTGGGTTAATACAGCTGGGAGGATCAGGGAAGCTTCCGAGAATAAGTGGCCTGAGTAGATTATGCACCAGTAGAGGAAGGGGTGGAGGATGGGAAGGGCCTTCTAGGGCACTGCATGAGTAAGAGTCAGGAAGTACTGCATCTCTAGGCTCTGTGCTCCTTGGTGGCTGGGGCTGACTTTCTCATTAATATGATTCAAGTGCTGATAAATGGGAGGATGATGGGAGGAAAACACAGAAACCTGGCATTTTCTCAGTGTAGTGCCTACTTCTTTCTTCCTGGTTGGGTAAGAGAGGCCAAACCAGTGCACCCCATGACACAGGACTTAGCTGTGAGGGAGAAGAGAGCAACAGTGGCACAGTGACAGCCACTATGGGCCCTTGTGCTGCCCCACTGTTTTCTGCCTCCTGATACACTTTCTCATCCATCATATCATTTGGTTCTCCTAGCAACCCTATGAGGTACAGACCACTGGATTTATCTGCCCTATTTGTCAGAAGAGGGAACAAAGCTCAGGAAAGGGAAATAGCTGGGTGGTTCCTCTGCTGGAGCTGTGCTCAAAAGCAGCACATTCCACTCTCTCATTAAAAATGAAGTAGACACATACTTATTGCCATGCAGCAACACTGATGGTATACCACCAGGTAAAAGGCAGTATGTGGAACAATATGTAGAATATGGTTTGGATTTTGTGTAAAAAATAATTAATTAAATAGGGAGTTGTGTAGATACAGAGATAAAAGTAAAAGAATACTTTCTACAAGATTATCAGTGACATTTAAGAGTGTTGGGGTCATGGGTTGTTGTAATTTTCTTCTCAGTATTTTTCAGTGTTTTTATGGCAAGCAATTATCCTTTTTATAACCAGAATAAAAAGAACTGCTAGAAAATATAAGACCAGTGCCCAGGGAGTTTGGGTGGGAACTTGTGTCTGTTGCTAACCCTTCCTGCCATCTCTCTTGACCAGGTGCCCACACCCAAGTGGTCCAGGTGAACGATTCCATGTATGGTTTCATCGGCACAGATGTGGTGCTGCACTGTAGCTTTGCCAACCCACTGCCTGGTGTAAAGATTACCCAAGTCACATGGCAGAAGGCCACCAATGGCTCCAAGCAGAACGTGGCCATCTACAACCCAGCCATGGGTGTCTCTGTGCTGCTTCCCTACCGTGATCGTGTGGAGTTCCTGCGGCCCTCCTTCACTGATGGCACCATCCGCCTATCCCGCCTGGAGCTGGAGGATGAGGGTGTCTACATCTGCGAGTTTGCCACCTTCCCTGCTGGCAATCGAGAGAGCCAGCTTAATCTCACTGTGATGGGTAAGCTGGCTAACCCCTCCTTCCCCGCTTGTGCAGAGGCCTGTGACCTGGGGATTTGGCCATCCTCGGTGTGTGTTTCAGTGGCCTCAGACATTCTTCTGTTGGCATGCTCCCAAAGATCCAGCATGGCACCTCTAGCCCCTCTGGACAGGCTCGCTCACAGTTCATTAGGGATTGGGTTCAGGGCCTTACCTGCGCACAGAACTGAGGGTCAGTATTCAGGTTGTAGCTCCACTATGGAGTGGTCTGGAGGCATGCTGAAGCATCAGACATAATAGTAAAGAGTTGCTTGAGTTGTTTGCCTTGGTCGTGACAAGACTCCAAGAAGTCCTGCACTTGCCAAAAGGGGATACAAATAGTAGAGCAGGAGGTTGGACATTACGAAGTTCCTATGAGAAAGGGCAACTGACAGGCAGTAGAGTCAGTCTCATGAATCTCTCTGATGTCCCATGGCTCTTTCTGGTGTCCCACAGCCAAACCCACCAACTGGATAGAGGGTACCCAGGCAGTACTTCGAGCCAAGAAGGGGTATGATGATAAGGTCCTGGTGGCTACCTGCACCTCAGCCAATGGGAAGCCACCCAGTGTGTTGTCCTGGGAAACACGGTTGAAGGGTGAGGCAGAGTACCAGGAGATCCGGAATCCCAATGGCACAGTGACTGTCATCAGCCGCTACCGCCTGGTGCCCAACCGGGAAGCCCACCAGCAGTCCCTGGCCTGCATAGTCAACTACCACATGGACCGATTCCGGGAAAGCATCACCATCAACGTGCAGTGTGAGCAGGGGCCAGGTGCGGGTGGGTGGACTTCCTGGGCTGGACACCACTATCCCTCCCCATGGCCTCACCCTTACCTATCCTCCCTTCTCTTTTGCTTCTTATCTCCTGTCATACTCCCACCCCATTTCTTGCCTTACCCACTCTATCCTTTCTTCTCCCCTCCTTTTCTTCTTCCTCCCTTTTCCTTTCTGGGGGTGCTTTGTCCTCCCCTCCTCTCTTCCCCAACATCTCTGTTGCTCATCCTTTCTCTCCTTCCTTGTTCCACTTGCTGCTTCTGTGATCTTCACCATCCCTCTCTCTTCCCCTCTTCTGGCCGTTTCCATGTCACTTCCAATTTTAACCCTTTGCTGTCTTGAGATTCCCTTGCCCCCAAATCTTGCTCTTCTGACATTCTTATCAGACATCACCCTTTGCCCCACAGACGAGCCCAAGGTGACCATCGAAGGATTTGATGGGAACTGGTACCTGCAACGGATGGATGTGAAACTCACCTGCAAAGCTGATGCTAACCCCCCAGCCACAGAGTACCACTGGACCACGTAAGTGCTGTGAGGCTGACTGGTTCTTGTAAAGTATCTTGCTGTCACAGAGATGCCTACCCACCCAACCTCCAGGAGCCTTAGGCAGGGAGGAAATTGGGGTCTAGGTTCATGTTTCTCAGTCAAAAGTGGAGGAGTCATGAAAGATGCCACACATACATACACCCACATGTTTGACAGAGTCAGGGTCAGTGGGACAATCCATTTTGCCAGAGGGATTTTACCTTGTTACCTACCTCCCTTCTGCTCCCTAATAGTTTTGTCATTTTCTGTTGGTGATTCAATCTGAGTCACTGCCTCCCCAGCCCCCAGAATTTATTTTTATCAAGGTGTCCCCAGGAAAGCTGGCTTTCTGAAGCATTCCAGATCTTTCTTTGTTTCTATTCCTTTTCACCAACACCTCCAGATTCTCAGGGAGGAGGCAGCAGTCAGCCCAGAATACCTGTGTTCATAGAGCTTTCATTCTACATCCCATGATCCCATTCTTGGCTTCACAGTCTTTAGGCCTGGCCCTTGAAGGGTTCTGTCCCCTCTCTAGTCAGTGCTTATGGTTGAGCCAAAGTTTGTCCCAGAGAAAGGCTGGATAGAACACATAGAGAGACAGGGATGTAGGTGAAGCCAAGAAGAACATTGGCATGGGTGGTCAGACAGCTGTCTGTATTATATCTACACACTTTTCCAGGAAGTAGAGGGCACAGGATATTCTGGCTATTACCTTCTACTTTCTGGAATCAAATGTGCTTCTGAAAGTATGAATGGGCAGGGCCTGCTTGCCAATTTCAGCTCTGTGGACCAAGATCCTACCTTTAAGTCCCGCAGAATAATTGCTTTGTGGCATTGGGGATCAAGAGGAAGGAAGAAAATTCCCTGTGTTCTGGAAACTGCCAGGATGCTCACAACATGAAAAAGGCCTGTGACATGCCCAATAAGGACATAAGATAGTGAAATGGAACAACTCCTAAGCATGGGTCACATCTCATTACCTGAGTAGCTTGTTAAAATACAGATTCCCAGGCTATGGCCCCAGTGGTCCAGCTTCAGTCATTCTGGAGTTAGAACCCTGACATCTGCATTGTTAACCAGCTACCCAAGAAACTAAGCGTCAACAATTAGGAACCACAACTATTAGAAAGGACACTATGCTAGGAGTCCAAAAATCTGGGAGAAGCTCCAGTTTTGCCACCTACTAGCTTTATTTCCTTGACCTTGAACCTCAGGTTCCACATGTGTTATCTACCTGTTCTATCTGCATTTCAGTGCTATGATGATCATGTGTGAAATGCTAAAGGATATAAAACTGCCAAGTGCAAGAAATTATTGTTATTGTTCCTGCTTTTACTCCTTCTAAGACAGACCCTACCTTTTAATCAGAAGAAGGGCAGCTGGTGGGCTTGGAGCCACATGGATGCCACAGGAGAGACATAATCCTTTGCCTTTTCCCAATTTCTACAGGCTGAATGGCTCTCTCCCCAAGGGTGTGGAGGCCCAGAACAGAACCCTTTTCTTCAGAGGACCTATCAATTATAGCCTGACGGGGACCTATATCTGCAAGGCCACCAACCCCATTGGTACCCGCTCGGGCCAGGTGGAGGTCAATATCACAGGTAGGAAGCTGTGTCCTTCCCTGCCTCTCCCCATCCACTGCTCCCTCTGCAGCCATCATCCCCCTCCTCCTTTGGGTTGTTTTGTTACAGGAAACTTTTGTCTTTTTTTCCTGCTTCTCTTCTTCCTTGAACTCTGGCCATTGGTCTAGCTTTGCCTTTCTCTTTCCTCTGTTTAAGGCTGTGTGTGAGACAGTCAGTGTAAGCCCCAGTCAGGGAGAGGAAGTAAGTGCTGCTTACAGTAATGCTGTTGGTGGTGGGGATGTTAAGAGGCTGCTACCATATGATGCTAGGTTATGGGGATGGGTTTGCAAGTGGAGTTCATCTCCTCCAAGCTCTGCTTCTGCAGCTCAGGAAACTATGAACTGGAAAAGGAGGCTTGCCTCAGCAGGGATACTGGAGGGGTAGCCCAAAGCCATAGTGGTTTGTGTGCCCTGCCACTGAATTACTCTTTTCCCTGCATTTTTCTCCTTGTCAATGCAGATGAAGAGGTTCAGCCACCTGACCTTTCAGGGCAAAGGGAGAACAGGCTAGGATGTTCTGGAGGAGACTTCACACAGAGTAAGAAAGGAGCATGGGCTTCGATATCAGACAGGTGGGACACTGGACAAGCCTTCATCTATTAAAATGGGATGTTATGAGGTGCCTTGAAGGGTCAGAATTATACATAACATAGGCCAAGTTCTTAGCACAGACCTGTCTGCCAATAAATGGCCAATGCTCTATGATTATCTTGACTTCTATCATTATTAAGGGAAAGATCAAAACAAGCCAATAGCAGGATAAATTGTCATCACAGCTTCACAGCCAGAAGAGGGAGTATCTTTAATGTTGTATCTAAGCTAAATGCAGGGTGAGAAAGTAAACAGAAAGTGACACCATGCTGCTGCTGAGATGATAGAAGTAACATCAGAGGGTAAGTTTCATGTATAGGAAGTTAGGCCAGGCTCAGGACAGGAAGTGGGGCAGAGGTTACTGGGCTCCAATTGCAGGGCTTGGGCAAACTCTGAAGCTTGTCTTAGGAGTGTGAGACCTCATTTGTGGGTATATTCAAGGCATAGCTTCAGAAGGAGCAGCCCAAAGCTGTCCAGGGGCTACACTTAGCTGACTTCAAGGCAGTTCTGTCACCTCTCTGGGTGGTGGGGGGTTATAGAGCCACTTGTTGCTTGCTCTTTTCTTCAACTCTCTGTCCTCGGCCTTCAGGCTGCTTAAGGGAGAGGAAGTGTTAGAGATGGAATCTGGGGAAAGCTAGGGCAACCCCTCCCCCAGGCTAGGATTTAGTGTTCCCAAAGGTTGGCAAGGAGGGGAGGACCAGAGTCATATACTTCGTCCTTCCTAGAGAGAATTTGAGCAAAGCTCAGATAGAGCCTCATAGGTGCCTGAGCTCTGGCCCTGAGTCTATGGGAGAAGACAAGGATGAGAGGTAGTGATGAGGGAGCATGACCATCCCAAAGAGAGCTTTGTCATATGAAGAATAGTTCAGATTTGGCCTGAGTATGTTCACATACTGGCTCTCCCTGGCTATGTGACAAGTCCTTCACTTCTCTGAGACTCAGCTTCCTAGTCTGTAATATGGAAATAATTGGGTTTTTATGATCATATCAAATCCATATTCTCCTGCCTGACACATGGCAGGTAATCCCTTCATGGTGATACCTCTCACCCAGGTAGACTACCCATACCACCAATGTATACTGCATCCCCCTCCACCTTCAGACTCTCCAGGGAAAGTGCTGATTAGAAAATCAGAGGAAGAAAACAAGAAACCCAGAAGCAATGTCCTTTCATTGACCCTAATCCCCAGCATGAGTGGACCAACCAGAGGCCAAAGGCCCTGCTAGGCTTATGGGGTTTATGGTGCTGCTAGCCCTAGAGACAGGGCTGGGCAGGAAGGTCAAGCCTCCCTTTTCCAAAAGCACAGGAGGATACAGGATGACTGTGAGTGCCGACTACTCATCAGGAAGTCACACCAGATCTAGAAGCAGGGAGGAAGACAAGGGTGCATTTCCTAGTCCCTGGCTACAGAGAAGAGAGGAAAGGAAGAAAGAGACTGGCTGTGGAGGTGGCCATCTTTGTGGGAGTCAGGCCTAGGCAGACTTTGGGCAGGTGGTCAGGCCTGATGGGCAGGTAGGCCAGGGATTCCCAGGGTATACAACATGCCCTCCTGTGCTCTCTGGAGGTATAGAGTGGGACAAGGTTGGTAACTAAAGACACACACATGGGTGGTGAGAAGGGCCTTGCATAAGTGGACTCTTGTTAGCAGCCTAGGTTGGCAGGAGCCATGGAAGCATGACATGCAGTGAATCGCTGATGGGCCCAAGAGCTGTTTAGCTGGCCATCCTAAGAGAAGGTCTGATAGCCCCAAAAGGAAGACTTAGCCAGGCAGCCCAAATCTTTTCAGAGCTGTTTATTCTTGTGCTCAGGGGCAATCTCCAAGCAGCGGTCAACCCTACCAGCCTTCACTCTGCATTGACTAGTGCCTGTCACATTCTCTGAGGGCCCACTCTGGGGGATACAACCATGCCTTGTGCTCTCAGGTCTCACTTGTCTAGAAGGAATGCATGAGTGAGACAGATAAGTGGAAATTTAAATTTTCATTCTGTCCACCCATTCAGGAAATAGCTTTGCCCTGGGTGCCTATGGAGAGGAAAATGAAGAGTAGTTGGGGCAGGGACAGGGAAAGGTATGCAGAGGGGAATATGTCACAGATGCAGTGTGTACAGGTCGTGTATGTCCCTGGCTGCTGCACCACCTACACAGACACACTTTGGCACAGCCCTTTCAAGGTCCCAGATCCTGGAAAAGGTGTTACTTGAGTTGTTCCTACAAGGATGAGTGAGTGGGCAGTGGTGGAGGGTGGGAGGGTGGCAGGGGAAGTGTGTGTGGGAAAATTGAAGGAGAGGGACTTTCTCTCTGTTTGTTGACCCAGGTGAGCCTCTGAAGGGCTTCTGCAGAGAAGCAGTGTGCCAGGGCAGGTGGTTCAGACTGAGCATTTGGGAGGCTTTGTGGTTGGTATGCAGGGAACAGTTAGGGGCTGTACAGTGAGGTTTTTCCTAGTGGGAAACAAGAGGCCTGGGCTGTGGCCATGGGGATAAAAGCAAAAGAGACAAACTTACCAGAATTTCCACAGGGCCTGGGGTTCTTCTACTGAGGAGCAATTTCATGGGGTTGGCCAAATAGTCACAAAATAAACTAGTAAGCTCCCCTCCACTCTCCCTGTGGGAGTAATGCTGAAGATGGGGAGGGGTGCTCAGGGTATGGTTTTGACTAGACAAAAAGAGGCCAAATTAGTCAGTATCTATGTCCCTGGTATGGAGCATGTTAGGAGGAGAGTGTCCAAGCCACTCACAGAGCTGGGCAGGGAGGTCACTGGGTGGTAGGGTGTTATCCCAATTCCCATTTCCAGTGAAGGTAACAGTGTACCCATTAGGCAAGGGGGTCTTCAGACCAAGGGTTGGTGGTGCTTCATGGTCCATCTAGAAGGTAGGGGGTGTGTGAGCCTGCAAGTGTGCATGCCTGGTCCTGAGTATGGGCACGTGCCTCTGAGCAAATGAATGTGCACCCCCACGGAGGCACGTGGCCATGTACATGCTGAGTGTGCACATGAGAGCCCGTGGCTATGCAGTGGGTACATGTGCCTTTGTCCAAGCTGGGAAACAGCAGTGCACTGGGAAGTCTGTGAGGAGGCAGCAGCACCCGTACCTCAGGGAAACATGGTTCTCCTCCAGTTTGATGAGGCCCTGTCTGTTGGTCTGACAGATACACAGCTGCTGCAGCTGCAAGAGGAAGAGAGGGGCTTCTCACCCTCTCCACACCCCACTGCACTGCACACCACCGGGAGATGTAATTCTCACAGCTTCCTAGCCTAATCTTCTGATACCTGCCTACATTGCTCTTAGAAGCAAGTCCAAATATTTCTTTCTGAAGAAAGCCTTCAGAAAGACTTCTCCAGATCCTAGATCCAGACTGTAAACTCTAACCCTTCACTCTACCTCAGATCCATCCAAAGCCCCCATAACCATCCACCTACCTCAGAAATGCAGAGTCCCCACTGCCCCAGAGGAGAGACTGCAAGCCTTCAAGAATGGGGGCCAAGCTGCCTCCTTTATAAGATGACACAAGGGATGCAGGTGGACCCCTGCCAGCAAGCACAAGTGAGCCCACTGCTCAGCTCTTTTCTTTCCTCCCAGCTGCTCCTGGCACAGAGGCTGTGCTCTTGGCACAGAGACAACAGCTACCGTCTGAATGTGACATCTGGAGGGACAGAGTGGGAGGGGGTAGGTTTTCCTTTCCACACCAAACAGCCTTTTCTACTTATGAATTAATTAAATTCCTATACCTATTACTTTCTCCTGTACCCTCACTAAGCATCTTCACTCTCAAGTCTGCAATGATGGAAGGTCATCTTAACCATTCTTCTTCCTCTACATGGACCTGGTCCTAAAGCAACCAAAGCAATGAGGGTTCCCTTTGGTCCAAAAAGCTCCCTGCTATCCTAGGTGGAGTAAACCTCTCATTAGAACTAGGGAAAAAAAAGTTAAGCAGAAGGGCCTAGAAGGGGAAGAGACTCAGTATCATCTGTCCCCAAGCCACCACTCTCCTCCTCCTGCTACCTGCTCCAATGAAATGTGGTCTCCATTGCATGCATTTATTTGAGTATCTCCAGAATATTTGCTGTGCCTAGAGCAAGGCTCACCTATATGATATAACCTTGCCTTTAAACAATTTATTCAACTAATTATTGAACTCCAGCCACATGCCAGTCAATCTAGGTACATGGGAATACATCATTGAGCCAAAAAAGTACCTGTCCCTGTGGAGCTTACGTTTTAGCACAGGAGGACAGACAACAAGCAATAGATAAAATACATTTGAAAAATTATGTAGTCATTTTGAAGGTGATATGGAGAAAAGAAGAGCCTCGTAGGAGGGTCCCAAGTGTTGGAGGTGGGGGCGCATGAACTGCAACTTTAAATAGTAAAGTCAGGGAGGGCCTCGATGAGAATGGGACACTTGTTCCAAGCCCTGAAGAAGGCGAGACAGTAAGCATGAGACACCTGTGGGAGAAGCCTTACAGGGTTGCAGAGCAGCCACTGCAAAGGTGCTGAAAGTACCTGGGGTGGAGAAGAGCAGGAGATGAAGTCAGAGGTAGAAGGCAGAGGCACAGATTATGTGGAGCATTTAAGCTCCCCAGATTTAAAAGGATCTCTGTGGCTGTTGTGTTAAAAAAAAAATAGTCTATAGAGGAAGTGAGTGGAATCAGGATAGGCTGGTGGCTATTGTAATAATCCAGGCGAGAGATAGTGGTGGCTTGGATCTGGGTGGTGGTGATAGTAAGAGGTAGTCAGGTTCTAGATTTACTTTGAATGCAAGCGTACAGACTAGTTTGGGACACCAGCCACTGGCATGAAATAGATAATACTGTAAACTCTACCATATTATTATTAATGGGGTTCAATAAATTCAACCTAGTCTAGTAAAGTGTAGGAGAGCTTTATTTTTTCATTGGGTCTCTGTCATCACAGAAAGCATGAAAATAAATGTAGTGGAATTCACATTATATGCAACTGTAACACACTATATTGAGTTGATCCCAATTATCTTGAGGATCTACTCCCTCTACCTTTCTCATGCATTCCTGCAGAAGAGGAGAACCATAGCCATTTGAACACTGGCAGAAGGACTGGAGCCAATCCTGGCTAATTTACATTTATCACAAGGTGTATTATCACAGGCTCTACTATAATATGTCAGTGTACAACTAATGGAATAGACTTAACTATTATTTATACCAGAATGAGAGGTGTAGATCAATAATACAGAAACTTGTAGAGAGAAAAGATAAGTGTGAACTGGAGAAGAGAAGGCTACACAGAGAGGGGCTGGAGGACTGGAATAGGCAGAGGGTAAGCAGGAGCACTCTTGGCAGAATAGACAGCAAGGACAGGGTGTCAGCCAAGCCCAAGATCAAGTTACACGATGGAAGCTTTGAAGACAAGACTAGCATGTGTGACACGTAGTAAGGAAGTCATTACTAGTCTTGAGAAAGGGAGTGGTAGTGACTACACAATGGAAAATAAGCCTGGCGATTGTGGATGGAATGGCTAGAGGGGCAGAGACCAAATGAAGGTGGGAGTTTCAGGAATATACAACAGCACCTGGCATAAAGTGCAAGATATTGAATAGCAAGAGTGAAAGAGAAATGAGGTTCTAAGCTAGAAGAGTAAACAAATGGTGGTGGGAGATGTGGTGTTGATTAGAGAGGGTTTGGAGGTAAGCTGGTGAACCAGGTGGACACAGATGGATTGAGATGGTGGAGAGAAGTCCATATAAAGATATGCTAAAGAAGAGTTTCCAAAGAATGTACCCAGATGCTAGTCTGGAGAATGGCCCTTCAGTCTGGAAAGGTGGGGTTCATGCTCCAGTAGGTTAGAGAACACTGCATCCTGTATGTTCCTATTAGAGTTCACTGTGTGTGTAAAAAGATGAAGGGATCTGATGCTTTGTCTAAACCAACATTTCCCAAAGTGTTTAACCCTCGTATTTTTGCTGATGTCTAAGCCAGTGGTTTGAGTTTCCATGGGCTATAGTTTGGGAAATGTCTTCTGAGAGTCCTTTGGAGATAGTCTCAGAGTTTGAAAAGCAAGCATGGTAAAGGTAACTCATGACCCTGGACCAGGTCTGTCACTAGGAAATAAAGCAGATGGTAAGGGCTGAAGGTCCACTGATGGAGTCTTCAGCCAGGTGGCTGGAGCAGAGCGTAGGCCCAGCAATGCAGCCAGAGACAGACAGAGAGGAAAGCCAAGATCTGGGAATTCTTATATTGTAAGTCAAGGGACACTTTTCTAACTCCAGTTCCCATGATCTCTTCTCTTGCATTCCTGAGGCACTTTCTCTGCCAATGCCCTGGACATCTGCATACAGCTCTGTCTCTAAGAATGTCCTTTGATTCCCCAACTAGGTTGTTAGTTTCTTATATCTTGTTACTACTAGCAAAGTAGATACTCAGTACTTGTTTGCTGATTGGCTGGGTGGGTGGATGGATAGATGGATGGATGATTGAGTGGATAGGAGAGTGGATGGAGCAAGTGAAGAGAGGAGAGAGCATTCCCATATGGGGTGAGAACTGAAGAGGTATCTAACAGGCAGGTAGAAAGTATAGAAGAGGCCAGCTGCCTCTTGGGTTCCCCTTATGGAGGCAGCTACCACCTCATGGGGAACAAGGCTGCAGCCCCTTTAAAGGCAGTAAACTGATGAGACCTGGTGAACCAGAGGAGTCTTGATGTTCTCAGGGATACTGCTCTGGAAGTAGGCAGTGAGGACAAATATTCAATAAATATTTATTGGGTAGCCACTTGGGGTGCTGCACTGAGGACACAGTGGTAACAAGTAGTTGAACTTCTTCTCTCTGCCAAATCCTGCATGTGAAGAAGCCAGGAACACACATAGAGAAGCATCTAGGTAGCCCTAGCTCAGCAGTGTGCCTGAGCAAATAGCCTCCCCTTCTTAGGCCCCAGTGTTTTCATTAGCCCTTCCCACCTGAACTCCTGGAAGGCCTTTACTTTTCTTTTCTGGAACTCTGCCCTGCTCTGTACCCACTACAGATAACACTGCACACTCTCACACACATGGGAGACCCACCTCTGGGAGAAGGAAATGTCAAATAGGAGGAGCAGGATTCCCATGAACTGAGTGAAGCTGAATCAGGGAGTGGTAAGCTGGCAGAAACCAATTCTCAGAGGCTGAATGATGCTCAAATCAACCCCTTACCATGGCCTGAAGAAAGAAGGGGTGAGAGCATGGGCACTGAGCCTCCAAATTTGCCCACCAGCTCTTGAGCTAGGCTAGCTGTGGTCTCTGGTGCCACCCTGTGGTGATGGTGGCAACCACCTCCCTCAGCTTCTTCTAGGCCCCTGGGTTTGCCCCACTGGCAAAGAGTCACCCACCCAGCCTTCTCTTCCCTTCCTCCTGTTTCTTTTCTCTTTTTTTTTCATCTTTCCTGCATTTTGTTTTCACTCTTTCCTCAGTATGAACATATTTGTACAGACATACTCATCACATCAGCATAGGCATACAGGCTCACTGTGAGCAGAGGGGTGTGTGCCCGTGTACGTGCCCTCTGAGTATATGTGTCATCTTCACTATATACTCCTTTGCTCTCACGCTCCATTTCTACACATCCATTCTAAGCATCTTATGCTAATTGCCCAGGCTGATTATATCCCTAGCCTCTACCTTGCCCTGCAAGGCCTGGCCATAACCAACAACCACAACCTTGGTTTCTGACACTCATGGGCATGTGTGGAGCCAGGACCTGAGAACCTGTCCTCTTTCTTGTACCCTAGGAGCAGATGCAATCAGGTGGCACCCAGTGACCAGCAGGTATTGGACAGAGGGACAGTAGTGACATTTGCACAGGCATGTCATGTAAGAGAACCAACATTGCATCATTGGTTGATGGCCATGGGTGTTATTTTTCCTCTCTAAGCCTCTGCTCCCTGTGTGTTAAATGGAAATTAATAGTACACCTACTGCACGGGGTGTCATGATAGTGACTGCATCTAGGGAATACTAGTCTGGCACCTGTGCCTCCCTACACTTCTAATGAGGATGATCTGAGCTTGCACCACATCCAAGGAGAAAGTTAGCATGGAGGCTATGAGACTGCACAGCGCTCTCTGCCTCTCTTCTCTCACTCCAGCTCCTGACACTCTGCACAATGGGCTCCTGGAGGGGAGGATTGTGGAGGAACTGGAGCTGCCCTTGGGCTCACCTCCTGGCCTTTCCCTCCCCTACCTTCCTCACTCCCTTCCACTGAGCAGACACTGACACTGTCCCTCCACCTCTTTTCTTCCCCCAGAATTCCCCTACACCCCATCTCCTCCTGAACATGGGCGGCGGGCCGGCCCAGTACCCACGGCCATCATTGGGGGTGTGGCAGGGAGTATCCTGCTGGTGCTTATCGTGGTTGGCGGGATTGTGATGGCCCTGCGCCGGCGCCGTCACACCTTCAAGGGTGACTACAGCACAAAGAAGCATGTGTATGGCAATGGCTACAGCAAGGCGGGCATCCCCCAGCATCACCCACCCATGGCCCAGAACCTGCAGTACCCTGATGACTCAGATGACGAGAAGAAGGCCGGCCCACTAGGAGGGAGCAGCTATGAGGAGGAAGAGGAGGAAGAGGGTGGTGGAGGGGGTGAACGCAAGGTGGGAGGCACTCATCCCAAATACGACGAGGATGCCAAGCGGCCCTACTTCACAGTGGATGAGTCCGAAGCCCATCAGGACAGCTATGGGGACCGGACTCTGGGCTACCAGTATGACCCTGAGCAGCTGGACTTGGCCGAGAACATGGTTTCTCAGAATGATGGGTCTTTTATTTCCAAGAAGGAATGGTATGTGTAGTCTCCTCTCTAGAGCCTCTGTCTTCACCCCTTCTCCCCAGCCCCTACCCATACACCCCCTGCCTTTCTTCCACTTACCCCTCACTGCCAAATCCTCCACAAACTGATAAGAGACTCACCCAACTACCCAAAGCCAGCTCCTTACTCCCAGGGAGCCAGGGAGTTCAGGGCAAATACCACCTGCTTTGTTTTGATTCCCTCCCTGTCCCCTGTTCTCCTCATGGTGTCATGCTCGCTATGGCTTTGATATTCCTGTACCTTTCCTCCCTAACTGCAGCCTCCTGCCCTTTGTACAAGATGCCAATTCTTACCTTGTGTACCTAGGCATCTGTCTCTCCAGGGTTTGTGGAGCCAGCCCTCCCCTGTCCCAACACTGGAATTTCTCTGTGTTCTCTCCACTGGGGGCAGGAGGCTGCAGGGCCTCCCAGAGGAAAAGCCTTACCCCCAGATACTGCTCCTTTGTTCCCAAGAAGAGGGAACTCAACACCCCCAACATGAGCTGACACAGCTGGGAATTTGAACCCCAGTCTAGACAGAAGTTTCACCCAAGAGGTAGGGTGTGAGGTGTGACTTCTGAAGCACCCAGGGTTGTCTGGGTAAATCAGGTTGAATAGAGTTGAGGTCCCCCTGGGGCCTTAGGCAGTGTGTTTTCCTCATGAGGTTGTTTTTTTTTTCCTTGTTATCCTAGAGAGTAATGTCCTAAGTGACCCTCTTCTTTACCCATTGGCTCCCCACAGAATGGGACTCCAAGGTGTACTCTGACCCACACTTCCCACAGCTCTACTGACAGACACATACCCACATACACACACACCACTCATGTCTGCTTCTGTGCACCCCCAAAAATACATACTTTACCCAGGCTGGATACTGACCAAGGCTTGCCCCTTTCTGTTCCATTTCTTTCCCATTCCCCCCTGACAGTGGAGAGGCCTTCAGAAGCCTTTAGGATAGCTGAGACTAGGTCCCCAATGCCTCCACCTAGTATCTCAGGCTGGCCCTAAACTGCTTCTCTGGCATGGTAGTTTCTCAGATTTTTCTTATCTATTCAGTGCTAGCAACTCTTGATTCTCTTGGGGAGTCAGGGCTGGCATGCCAGAAGGGAAATGCCTCTTGGAGTTAGAGGTGAACAAGTACCCAGGTGGAGGGTATAGGGAGGAAGCCCTGTGATAGAAGCTCTGCAAATACAGTCACAGACTCTGAAGGGTGTAGGTAGCACCTCACCCACGAAGGCCAGAAAGTGCAAGAGGAATAGGGGAACCAGGGATGCTGAGTCAGAAGCTCCTACTTGCTCCTGCTCACCACTCTCTACTTCCTGTTAGCTATTCCTGGCCTTTGTTCTGGGTGAGGGACACCTTGGAGAAGTTTTCCCTTTGAGTTGTAGATTTCCCCCTTGAATGGACTTCTGAGTTCCTGTCAGTCACCCAAGACTCAGTCTTCTCATCTCTAAAATGGAGGGAGTGTCCTCCCAGCCCTCTCAGTTCCCTTAGCTCAAAGTGCCTCAGTTCCTCCATCTATATTCATTGCCCCCTATACCTCACTCCTGGCACTCTAGATAAGAAAGATCTTGTGATGGGAGAGGCAGGTTCATGCCTGCCCATTAGGATTCTGGTTAAATCAGCCCAGGGTGTCAGGAGCTCTATGGGATGGCAGCTGTTGGGGGTAGGGGACAGACCACTCTGTTTACCATGGACACTAGCCATCTCTGCCATAGGCTTCCTAGGAAAGCTCCCAGCTCCATCCTCTACCCCATTTCTTCCTGGTGCTGCTGTTAGACCCCTAACCAGCTCTATCTCTGTCCTGGCAACCCTGGGCCCACCATGTGGGCCGCCCTCACCCGGCCCCCATTGCCCTAGCCCCAGTCTAGGCCACCCAGTAGCCATGTAGCAGAATTCTGAAGCCATGCCAGCCCTGGGGCCATTCTCCCCTCTTGGCATTGAGAGTACTGGATAGAGTGCGGTTGGGGGAGAAAATTCTGGGGTCTTACTAGCCACAGGGCAGAGGAGGGGTGGAGGACATGGGCTGTTTCTCCCAGCAGTGTTATTGTCCCCCCAAGGCAAAGGACCTTTTCCATGTCATATCACTGCCCATCTCACCTCATGCCACTCTGACTCCTGTGCCTGGTTTCCTTGCCCCTAGGCAGGAGGAAATCCCAGGGACCTGCCTGGTAAAGTCATTCTCTGTCCCCTTGAAACCATAAGACCAAAAGGATTCCTCCTGTGTTGACCTGAACCTGCACTGCCAACCCCTATTTCTTACTTTATGATGGACTTAGAAGGCCCCCAGGCCCAGCCAAAGGGGGACCCAGCACTGAGTCCCCCTTAAGACACCTCCACACCTTCCACCCAAACAAAGCACAAATTGTTATGCCTATGCCACATGCACTGGCTGCATGGGAGCTCCTGCCTAGCCCAGAATCCAATTGCAGCATTACCAACAGGGAAACTGCTCCCCAAGGCCAAGAGTGGGCTTGAGGCAGGGGTCAGCACTTGGGCTGGAGAGATGAGTTTTCTGTGCCCCAAGTTTGTGAGCATGTAAGCATTGCTGCTGGGCCTACAGACACAGCCTCTAGCAAAGGGAAGATGTGGCCGATCAGAAAGAAGAGGATGTTCTCCTCTGTGATACCAGCATGAGCTAAGCTTCTTCCCTTGCTGGAAATGAAATAAACTTGGTATTCATTGTGCCAAGAGCTTTCCAGTTGTCATCCTGCCTCTTCTTGCCCTCCCTGCCCTTGCCCAGCCCCTGCTCCATCTGTATATTTCCTTAAGATTTTGATTATCTAATGTGTAATAGAATCTCTGAGCCCCTTCTATCAGAAAAATCTGAAAGGTAGCAGCATGGGAATGCACGTGCAGCCACCTGAGGCCCAGCCCAAAAGCACATGGGGAATACAGACCCCAGCACAGGCAGAGGCATACACTCACACTCTCAGGCATGGCAGGGGAATGGGCTGGTGCTACTGAAATCCTTGAGAACAAGACAATGATTTCCCAGTGTTTAGGCCATAAGGCAGACTTACAGGAGTTGTGTCTCTTGGACATGTGCCCCTCTGCCAACCCCCTCCTGTGTGCCCAAATCACTGGCGCAATAATTCTGCCATCCTCCAAACAGAGGAACCAGGGATTGTGTTAGGTGGGTGGGGCAACTCACCTTGGAGAAGGAGATTGCCCTCAGGTCTCCTAGGGGCCAGACAGAGAGTCCTCTGCAGTCTGACTGCCACCAATAACCCTCTCCTGGTGAGCAGCAGGTAGGTCTCTCCCAGGCCCCACACATCCACAGGGTAACATGCTCTGCCCATGGGTGTCTGGGAAGGAGGCCTGTACCGCCACCACCCAAGTGTAAGGCCAGAGGAACTCTGCCCACTGGTGCTGCTGCTCTTCCCACTACTGCTATGAGGAATGGGATACTTGGCTGGAAAAAAAATGGTTTTCTTTTTTGTATAAATGAAAACAAAATCCAGGAAAAGCTGCCACATTCTCCCTCTGAGTGTTAGGCACACACTTTGCTTCAGTTTCTTTGTCCCCATTTTCATCTTTGGTACTAGGGATGGCCCAGGAGATTCTCCTGGTTCTGACCTGGGGGTGTTTGCATCACCCTCTTTTACTTGTATTTAAAAAAATAATAATGGGTTGAAAAATGTACTGAGGAAAAAATGTACTCTTTTTTATAATAAATGTTTAAAACAATGCTGGCTGCCTTGTGTCACTTCTATCTCCCTGGAGTGGCTGTGCCCTTCCTCTCAGCAGCCATGGGGAATGGGGACAGGGCAGAACTGGAGACTTGCCCAGCACCATGGTGAAGGGAAGGGAGCCTCCACCCCATGTTCAGACTCCATGGTTCTGGGGCAGTGATGCAAACCCCTGCATCACATCCTAGCTCACCATCTTGCAAGAGCTCCAAGGGAGAATGTACTGATCCAGCCTTTGTCCTCACCTGCAGCTCCTGGTTGCTATTGAACCATCTTTCACAAAAAGACTTTGGATAGCAGCACTCAGAGGACTTGGCTCCTGCAGGCTTGGGCAGGGAGGCCTTTAAGGTTGCCTGACCTGAGAGGTTGGACAATGGAATCCTCTGCCCTCCTGCCCCAGAGCTGCATAGATCCCAATAAGGCCCTCTCATTTCCCCTTCTCTCTATACTCCCTTACTCCCCACTGTTCTGCTTCTTCCTCCTGTGGTTATTTGGATAAGAAAGCAAGCAGTGTCACAACCATTGTGTTAGATTCCTTGAGACAGGTAAGTGATGGGAGCGTATCCTTTCATCTGTTTTGAGGATACTGCCAGGCTTCATCCCCTGAATGCTCTCTCTAAGAACCAGCTCCTATCTCTCCAAGGCACTGGTTGCAGGGAAGTTCTTGCAGTTCCTTAGTTACCTACCCCTCCTTACTCCTGTACCATCTGCTTCCCATCTCCTGTGCTGGAATGCAGGACAAATCAATCCTGGGATGAGAATGGTAGGAGCTTCAGTGATGGCTCTCAGCCATCCCAGTAGCATTTCCCTTTGCTGAAATTCACAACTACAACCCTGAGAAAAGGGAGTGGGGATGTTGGAAGCCAAGGTGTCTGCCTAGCAGACAGCCCTTCTGGTCCAATCTGGGGCAAGGCCGCATTCTTTACACCTAGGATTGGGACAGGAGGTAGAGCCTAGGGCAGGTGGAATCAGGCATGAAGAAGTGAGCAGCTGTTGGCAGCTGGCTGGGCCCCTCACTGGAAGGCCGAATCCAACACCCTAGATTATATTTAGATGTTGATACTTGAATGAAATGCAAATTGATTAAGTGGTTACTTTCTCAGTTTTCTAGGCTGCCCCTTTAAGTTAATTTTTAATTTATACAGGCAATGAGTGCTAATTACATTATTAATGTATTGGAAGAGAGCAGTGGACACAGTGTCCTAATTGGCATTTAACTAGAACATTCCATAAAATTAAGATTTCCTCCTATAGTGGAAGGAGGGCAAGCCAATTAGTCCCAGGCACAGCCTCTCTGGGCTGGTAAATCCAGACCTGGTCCCTTGCCCCAGGATACTAGGAGCCCAGAGCATATTTAGCTTCTCCTTGAGCTAAGTGTAGAAAGAACTTTCTGCTAGTTAGGCTCCTTCCACTCAAATCTTAACTCTTGTCCCCAGCTCCCCACCCAACCAACACTCAACAGAGCAGACAACCAAAAGCTGGATGCCCTAGGGACAAAACCCACCTGGGGTGTGCCCACCATCACCCTACCTCAGCTGTGGATCCAGGACTAAGATGTCTGGGTGGTTAGAGTTCTTCTCTCTGGATACTATGGAGGCTTCTCTCCCATCCTCCTTACCTTACCCTCTCTGGTTACACATGGTTAAAGGAATTAACTTCATAAATTGAGGGATATATTTATTCACTTATGCATTCATTCATTCAATTGGTCACCCAGGGCCATATGCTGTGTGATATTTTGACAGTCTCACCCAGAGTCCCTACTCTTAAAGAGTTCAGATCCTACAGGAGTCTCAAATTCCAAAACAGCCTTTGCAGTGCTGGGTGTGGGCTGAAGCAGTGCTGTGCATAAAACACTAAGGTAGCACAGAACAGGAATGGCTACTTTTGTTTTGGAAGGTCTGAGAGGTTTGATGGATGAGGTGACATTTCCTCTGGGCTTGGAAGGATGTATATGAGTTCTTCAGACCATGGATAAGTTAAGAGTATTCCGGGCCAATTGAGAATTTAGTATCTTATATTAGTTCTTTTTTATTACTGTTGTTGGAATACAGTTGTTTCCATTTTCCTGTCACCACTTTCCCCTGTCCCACCCATCCCCATCTACAACCCTCCATCCTACCCCCCTTTACTTAGTCCATGGGTCCTTTGTACATGTTCCCTAACAACTCCTCTTCCTTCTTTCCACCATTATCTCCCTCCTCCTGCAGTGGAAGGAGGTTTGAAAGGAGTAATTCAGGTTACTGTCAGTGTTTTATTTCAATGTTTCTGGTTATATTTTCCTTGCTTGTTTGTTCTGTTCATTAGGTTCTACTTATAGGTAAGATTATATGTTATTTGTCTTTGATTGCGTAGCTTATTTCACTCAGCATAATGTTCTCCAGTTCCATCCATGCTGTAGCAAAAGGTAGGAGCTCCTTCTTTCTTTCTGCTGCATAGTTTTCCATTGTGTAAATGTGCCACATTTTTTTTACTCACTCATTTACTGATGGGCAGCTAGGTTGCTTCCAGTACTTGGCTAATGTAAATTCTGCTGCTATGAACAATGGGGTGCATAGGTTCTTTAGAATTAGTGTTTCAGGATTCTTAGGGTTTAATCCCATTGGTGGAATTGCTGGATCAAAAAGCAGCTCCATTTTTATTTTTTATTTTATTTTAAAAATTATTTATTTATTTATTTTTAGAGAGAAGGAAAGGGAAGGAGAGAGGGAGAGAAATATCAGTGTGTGGTTGCCTCTTGTGCAACCCCTACTAGGGACCTGGCCTGCAACCCAGATGTGTACCCTGACTGGAAATCAAACCAGTGACCCTCTGGTTCTCAGCCTGTGCTCAATCCACTGAGCTACACCAGCCAGGGCAGCAGTTCCATCTTTAGTTTTCTGAGGAAACTCCATACTGTTTTCCACGATGGCTACACCAGTCTGCATTCCCACCAACAATGTACCAGGGTTACTTTTCCTCTGCAACCTCACCAGCATTTATTGTTTGTTGATTTGTGTATGATGACCATTCTGACTATTGTGAAGTGATGTCTCATTGTGGTTTTAATTTGCATCTCTGATGGCTAGTGATGCCGAGCATCCTTTCATATGTCTCTGGGCCCTCTGTATGTCCTCCTTGGAGAAGTGTCTGTTTAGATCCTTTGGCCATTTTTCAGTTGGGTTGTTTGTCTTCCTGGAGTGAAGTCATATGAGTTCTTTATATATTTTGGAGATACCCCTTCTCTGAGGTATCATTGGCAAATGTATTTTTCCATACACTTGGTTCCCTTTTCATTTTGCTAATGTTTTTTTAACAGTGCAGAAGCTTTTTATTTTGATGAAGTCCTTTGTTTATTCTTTCCTTTATATCTCTTGTCCTAGGGGACATATTGATGAAATAAGGCTGTGTGGAATATCTGATTGTCCTACCTGTTCTCCTCTAGGATTTTGTGGTGCCATGACTTGTATATTTAAGTCTTTTATCCACCTTGAGTTTATTTTTGTGTATGGTTATCGAGTTTGATTTTTTGCATGTAGCTGTCCAGATCTCCCAACACCATTTGTTGAAGAGGCTATTTTTATTCCATTTTATGCTTCTGCCTGCTGTGTTGAACATAATTGACCATAGAAACTTTGGTTTATTTCTTGGCTGTCTATTGTGTTCCATTGATCTATTTGTCTGTTCTTATGCCAGTACCAGACTGTTTTGATTACCATGGCCTTGTAATATAGTTTGATGTCAGGTATTGTGATCCCTCCCACTTTGTTCTTCTTTCTCAAAATTGCTGCAGCTATTTGGGGTCATTTATGGTCCCATATAAATTTTTGAAATGTGTGTTCTATATCTGTGAAGAATGTCATTGGTATTTTAATAGGGATTACATTTTTCTATAAATTGCTTTGGATAGTACGGACATTTTGATAATGTTAGTTCTTCCAATCCATTAACATGGTGTATGCTTCCATTTGTTTGTGCCTTCCTTAATTTCTTTCCTCAATGTTGTGTCGTTTTCTGAGTACAGGTCTTTTACCTCCTTGGTTAGTTATTTTTCTTGCTGCTATAGCAAACAGGATTTTTTTCCTGATTTGTGTTTCTGATATTTCGTTGTTGGTGTACAAAAATGCCTTTGATTTCTGAATATTGACTTTGTATCTCAATATTTTGCCAAATTCATTTATTAGGTTGAGTAGTTTTTTGGTGGAATCTATAGGGTTTTCTATGTACACTATCATGTCATCTGCAAACCATGACAGTTTTGCTTCCTCCTTTCCAATTTAGATGCATTTTATTTCTTTTTCTTGTTTGATCACTGTGGCCAGAATTTCCAATACTATGTTGAATAGAAGTGTTGAAAGCAGACATCCTTGTCTTGTTCCTGATCTTAGTGGGAAGGTTTTTTTTTTAAAGTTTTGTCTGCTGAGTATGATATTGATTATAGGTTTCTCATATATGGCCTTTATTATGTTAAGGAATGCTCCCTCTATTCCCACTTTGCTGAGTGTTTTTATCATAAATGGGCACTGTACTTTATCAAATGCTTTTTCTGCATCTACTGATATGATCATGTGTTTTTGTCTTTCATTTTGTTTATGTGATGTTTTATGTTTATTAACTTGCAAATAGTGTACCATACTTGCATCACTGGGATGAATCCCACTTGATCATGGTGTATGATCTTCTTGAGGTATTGCTGGATGCAGTTTGTCAATATTTTGTTGAGGACTTTAGCATTTTTGTTCATCAGCGATATTGGCCGAATGTTTTCTTTCTTTTTTGTGTCTTTGTCTGGTTGTGGGATTAGTTTGATGCTGGCTTAATAAAAAGAGTTTGGTAGTCTTCCATCTTCATGGATTTTTTGGGAATAGTCTGTGAAAGATAGAGGTTAGCTAACCTCCTTAAATGTTTTATAAAATTCTCCTGTGAAACTGTTCATTCCAGGGTTTTTGTGTGACACGAGTATTTTGATTGCTGCTTAAATTTCACCAGCAGTTATCAGTCTGTTTAGGCTTTCTGCTT